ATTGTAATTTTTCACCTTCTAACTTACACGAATGGTTACAAAAATCTTCTTGTCATTGATAGTCTTCATCAATGATTTTACCTTCAATTTGAACACCTTGCATAATATATTTGGTTGATTTGAAGGAGATAATGAATGAATTTTTCTTATAAAATCTAGTAATCTCAGGCCATATAAGATTACAAGTAAAAGTGATAAGAATATTGGATATCCTGCCCAGCGACAAATTATCATTGCATCTTGATAATTTTGAATCATATATCTTGCCCCTTCTGTGAAAGACGAGGGCAAAATAATTCTTCTACCTGTAGAATTTGCATTTCTTTCTCCATTTGTGAGTGCGTTTGACAACCCTTGATACAACTTAACTCGTAGCTCTTTTTGATGAGTCTTTACCTAGAGTAACCTCTGTGATTTAATCACGATATATCCATCAACAATAAATTGCTACAATAATTTGCTTGTATGAAGCAATGTGGAGATCTCATGTTATAATTAAGGCTTTGCTCCTTCTAGTGGCAACAAACTTATTATTACAATGAGTTAATTTATAATAATAATTAGTAATTTTTTATATTTTACACTTATGAAGTCATGAGTATTGAGCAAAATTTTAGCATTGACCAACCTCAATCTTTTCTTTTATTGGTGAAATTTGTTGTTGATTTAGTGTAATTGACTTTAACATGTTGAAGGTTGTTTAATTTGAATCATTTGTGTTATAATCAAAATACTTTTTCTTGTTATTAGAAATTGTTGTGGGTTTATAATTGTTATTGTTGTGAAAAATTTTAAAAGACTGTAAGTAATTTTATTATGTTGAAATAAATTGCTACATTTCATAGATGAAAATGAAAAAAAAAAACAAAGTGAAATATTAAATAAGACCAGGATAAGTCTTCTATTCTACTAACCAATTAGGTCTTGTTCAATTTTGAGTTATACAAGGACTACACTAGACCATGAGTTGTTCAATTCAATCCTTTTATATTAGGTTGAAGTCTTGTCGGGTGAGGCTTTTGTATTGCCTAATTACTATAATCAATCATGATTCCAGAATTTATTTAATATTTTAAAAAAAGAATAATCATTTGTAATTGAGGCATGCATGAGTTGTAAATCGAGTTACACTACAATTTTAACCTTTATTTACTGAGTTGGGAGAGACAAACACTTTGATCAGGCTCAATCATTGTTTATAGTTTGGGTGAAACATGGATTTGTATTGTCCATGTTATAGAATTTCATTCACATTTGAAATATATGATTAACTCGAAATAAATGAAACTGTAAATAAAGTGGCGGTTTGACGAGAACATAGTTTAACCATTTCTTTCAATTATATTTGATTAATTATTGAACAGGGGATAAAATAGTAGATTTGTGATTTGTGATTTAGTATTCTCTCTACATCTTATGCTAACATGTTCCATAATTATTTAATTGAATTGGCAATCTCTGTAGTGTCATTAAAGACACTCACTACACCACTGAATGAAAAATTTTAAGACATTAATCAAATCGGTATTTCATTATATGTATTATGTATGGATAGCTTAAATGTTTTAACATTCTTGATAAAGCTAATCATTTATTAATTTTGATTCAATTGTAATTGCAATGAACTTTCACTTATAGTTTTAGTTTAAGTCTTCATTTAGTTGTAAGCCTTTAAATTTTATTATTATAATTTTAATTAATTAAATATTTATTTTTTTAAAAATAAAATTAAAAGCATAGATTTAAGCCATTAAATTTAGACCCTTTAATAAGATTGATATTCTCATAGGC